CTAATTGCAGCGTTTTCCAGCCTACAGAACACAAACGATCCTGTTCACGTGTCCTGGTGCCAGATGTAATGTTTGGGTGCCACGAGGGGACGTGCACAATGCCTTACAAGGTTTAAACACTTTAGTAACTTTGAGCCTGTTTTTCACTTGGAGAGGCTTATAAGTGACAGGATGGCGTAAGTCAAACTGTCACTTTAGAGAGTTCTACATTTCAAATAAGCAGATGTGGTGTTCAAAAATATCCCAATGTAAACACTGAAATGTTAGCAAACAGCAAGTTGTTTACATTGTCAGCAGAAACATAGCAATAGCAGCTGAATAGTACAGCTGTTGTCTGAAATCCCCTTTTTTCCATGAATTCAGTATGATAGAAAAGTACGAGGAAATAAAAGTCTTTGAAAATAATCGAGACTGTCTCTAATGGTCTCTAATGAGTGTCCCAAATTCCCAATCTGCTCTAGGATCTGTGTGAGCTGGTGCAGTAGATGGCTATGGTCACACATAGTCTCTCCATTCTGTTTGGCATAATTATGATCACGGCTCAACTGTTCAAATGAAACGTCTTCTGGATATCTGTTGTCTGTTAGTTTACTTCCTGCCCTCGTGCACGATGCTGCTCTTCATTCTTTATGAATTTGCATTAAAAACGACCCACATGGGTCCAGTTTTTCACTCGTGGGCTTTTCTATTTGTACATGAAGGTAGATCAAACTGAATTTGAATAACTGAACTGTGAACTCAATGAAACAAATACAGAAACACTCAATTTGTCAGGCATCGCTAATTTTCTTTTAATTAAAATGCATAATTTGCTACTGCAGTGCTGGAACTTTCCTGACACTAGAAGCTATATGTTGACAGACACGTGGAGATTATAGTAGAAGAACACGGCTGTGTATCATTTGATTGCTGGTTTTTCTATGAATTACTGTAAATAAACAATATGTTAAGCACCTTGAGGCGACTGTTTGGTGATTTGGTGCTACATAAATAAAACTGAAATGATACTTTTGATTGGGTCTGCCTTAAGTAGACTTTTTGGAAAAAAGTTATGTTAATATTTTTATTCCCTTTTAATTATTTCAGTTTAAAGTGGAGAAAGGTCTACTGTAATAATAAGCAGGATATTGAATAGTGCAATAAATTGACTTTACAACAATATATATTTTATTTTGAGATATTTTAATCCAAACCACACCGGCTGCTTTGGTGTGAAATGACTAAAGAATTGAAAATAAGACAAAACTGTTTTGTTTGCATCAGATATGCGCGTCTTCTGTTTTAGCTTCGGTCTTTTTCTGTTTACAGCCTCTAAACACTCACTGTTGTTCAGTCGAGCTGTTTAAAGCTGCTGAGGTCTGGAACAACTTTCAATAAATGATGAAAAAGGTTAACTTCAGTTTACTGTTTCTGTTTCAGAGTCCTCATTCGTCAAACTCCAACCTGACCCATACAGAACAAAAAGACAGGTGAGAGCATTTTCAAATTAATTTTTTATCTTAGACTGACTTTCAGGGTCTCTCTGATTCTGAAGCGAGTCGGTACTTGTCTTAATGTTATAAGAATGTGAAGGTTTGATGTTTATTTCAATGGCAGCGTTATCTTTGCTACCATCTCCTCTGACACGCCTCGACTCTCTGTTACCATCTTTTCCTGTATCGTAGTGCTAAAGAGAGAAGGTCTCGCCTTGTATTCATGCATCAGTGGAGTCAAGTGGGTCACAGTAGGAAGAGGAATTATAATCGAGATGAGCTGGAAAAATGGGCCGAGTCCGTAAATGTCCTGCTGGAAAGTCCAAGTAAGTCCTGCTTTTTTCTGAGTTTGGGTCTGATACTCGACATTTTAAGCAGAAAACAGTCTGACTGTAAATTGCTGAACTTGTATTCCTTTTAATTTAGAGGAATAGAGAGAAATGTCTTTAGGGGGATGGCTGAAGCACAGAAGGAAGTGCGTGTCTTCTACTAATCAGAGGGTTGGTGATTTGATCTGCATGCCAAAGTATCCTTGACATCCACACCATAGTGCATGCATCCCACTCTGTGGTCATCAGTCTCATCCACACACTGTAAATGCCAGAGTGTGTGAATGTTGGCTAGAGAGCACTTAGACGCAGAAAATAAATTGTGTGTGTGTGAATAAGTTAATGAGCCGTGCTGTATAAAATGCTTTGGGTGCCCAAGTAGACTAGAAAAAAAGAACAGCACAAATTCTTACTTACAGGTCATAAATACAGGGAATTTAATTATTTTATTTTTTTAAAGAAGAAGAAGTAAAAGTGGGTGGACAATCTAACAAGCCCTGAGCACGCCCGATCTCGTCCATTTACCATTTATATAGTTTTTCAGATGAAACACAGCTCATTAAGTATTTTATTCCAGAGTTCGGTTGGTTTTATCCAATTACGCTGCCTATTTTGTTTCCTTAACTTAAGGTCAGCCAAGATGCTGCCTCAGTGGTTTTCCTTGTTCTCAGAAGTTCCTTGTTTCAGAGTTGTGAAAGCAAACCAGGATGTTATTAAAAATGAAGACTAGAGTTGGTAAAATCCTCTGGAGTCTGTACAGTGTTGGAGTAGAGCCAGCAGAGAGAAGATGAACTCGTAAAGTTAATAGATGGAAAAATCATTAGGGACAAGTTGTTGATCAGGTGTGACAGACAGAACTGAAGCAGGACTGACTGACACTGAGGGAAGTCGTTAGAAGGATGTCTGATGTCAGAAATTAATGGAAATAATTTTGGCAGTGCAGGAAAGAGGGAATGCTGGAGTAGCCAATGAAAGAGAATTCCCAGTGAGAAAAGAAGTGTTGGGGGGAAATCTCGCCCACTGAGTGGTCACCAGAGTTTCATTTATACTCCAGAGGTTGAATCCCCAAGTTCTTGGTGACCTGCAGGTCTTTCTTTTGGCCCTGCTGTCAGACTTACACATCACTCTTGCACTGGGGAGACATTCAAGTCACATGACCACATCGCCTGATAGGACACTGACAGTCGTGCATTTTTGCTTTCTCCGTAACTTGTGCTTCACGTCTTACTTGAGGACAGACGTGACATTTTTAGTTCCACTACAAGTTAGAGTCGATGCTCACGGACCAGTTTAATGTCAGACAATGTCTTCACGGACCGGCGTTTAAGGTGTCGTGGATAAATACAACAAAATAAAATGATATGACCAAGACACAAACGGTGGTATTTTCTAAATATAATAATAATAATAAACGTGAAGTCATTGTGTAATTGTGTAACTTTATTAGCAGCGTGCTCCTGAAATGCGCCAACAACACTGAGAGTAACATCCCTCTCTCTGGTTGCTATGGTGACATGTAAATATTTCTTTCAAAACAAGAAACACAACTACAACACGGGAAACAGAGTTAAGGATAAAAACCTGAAAACCATAAATTTCTCACCCGAGCCTCAACTCTCGCTGCCCGGTACCAAACAACTCACGGCCCGGGGGTCGCTGCCCTAGATCCCCTCGCCCCCCCCCTTAAGTTATAGTTAAAGTTAAGGGAACACTTGAATATTTAGATTTTTGGTGTGACTTTAAAGCCCTTGAAGGCCTGGCTATTTTAATTTCCTGTGACCTTGAATTACGCACACGACATGTCGAAAACAGATTTTCAACTTGATCTGTGTAACTTAACATTATGGTGTTAATTTAGTTTTTTAGATGTTTTTTAGACTCTATATAAGGTAATGATTGGATTTGGGAAGAACACACAGTAAATAATACGGTTAAAAAAGGTAGGATTGGGAAAAGCCATAAAAGGCCACCTGCTCGTTGGCAAATGAGCAACCAAACTTTACACACAGGTACATTTTAGTCTGCTGGAGATTGTTATCTGTATCAGATATGTCACCATGTTACTTAGCAACCATCTAGCAATTGGCTTTAATGACCTGTTTCTTTTCCCTGTGACACCTCACAAAAGCATCCTAATGTCATGACAATAACTTTTCATTTATATCCACAAAGGCTGAATTAAACATAATTATAATGTTGTCATGTTGCCTAGCAACCACCTAACAATGCGCTAAAATGACCCTTTTTTTAAATTGAATCATCTACAACACGTTATGAAACCACTGTATCATTTTGATTTCATGGTTAACAGCATAGAAAGACGAGTGAATTAAAATAAAGCCTTTATTATTCTTCCAAACCTACTTTGAGTGTCTGTACTTTGGAGAAATTAATGCCATGTTTGATTGTTATATCCATTCTTTTTCTTTTTGCTATGGGGGCTGCTTGGTTTGAGGACACCAGCAATACTCCTGTTACTTCATTTACATATCAGAGATTACACTTTGCTTAAATTAAATAATCCTCTGCTTCCCTGGATCTTTGCCACAACGGTGATTTGTTTTCCTTCATTCACAATTGAACCCTTGCAGTAATCATTTTCAGGATGCAGCTGTGGGAGTCGCCTTTTATTGCATTCTTGTTTAACAGGTACTAATAATGGAAACTCTGAATTGTGTTCAGATTTAAAGAAATACAATATGAAAGTATTTTCTTTATATGCTTCAAATTGCAGCAGGATAACCTGACACTGAGAAAGATACTTTATTTACTTTAATGTCCTTACTCTTTGTGAGATTCTGACCTGAACCCTATCCTGTGACATTTCTGTCTCACAACTTCTGCTTTAAAGACATGTTTGCGCAACAAAAAAAAAAATCACATGTTTCTCAAGTTTTTAAGCTGAATCGATGTCAACAATCTGGTCTGACGTCAGTGACCCTCTGTGCTGCTGAAAGTGCAGCACTTACCCAAACCCTGCTGCTTCTATGAATAGAATAGATAGTAAACACCAAGATGGTTATAAATCACAGCTGTTTCAAAGTCTAAAGGCTTGAGAATGTTTGACTTGATATCAACAAGGGTTCTGGGTTTAACGGTGCGTGAAGGGGAAGCGTGTACGGGCACATTCCTGAAACCTGTTTCTTGGCAGTATGCTCTGTGCTGGTGTCGTCTATCGTTTTCACCCATTCAAGAAAAGCAGGGCGTGTCCCGATGAAGCGCTTTGATAACACCGATGCATTTACAGCATATTCTGAATGCCACAGAATGTTTCCATTCATTTGTTTTTCTTGTCACGTCAGTTTCCTCGTCATCATGTGCACGACCCGGTCTGACAAAATTATGACTAAATTATTCAGGATTTCAGCCTCGGGCGATGTCTTTGTGTACGTTATACAAAGGAAGGTTGTGGCAGTAATCTGACCAGCCTACTACTTCTAAAGGGGAACTTTTGTGGTAACTGGATAAGTTCTATGCAAAAGCCTTATTATTACCATTTTTAGGTTGTAATGGAATTTTTTTAATAAGTATAAAGCCGTTGTTCTAGCTGGAGCTGCGAATGAAAGAAATCCAGTGGCTCTTAGCAGCAGACCCAGATCCCACATTTAATTAGTGTTCATCTGTTGTCTTTAAATTAGGGCTGCCACGATTACGTCGA